GGAGGTTATACTGGGCAGAGGAGAAGGGGAACACATAAGGAAGTATAAAGCCGCAAGGATGGGAGGGAGCTGGAAGCAAAGTAGATGAAGGAGAACAGTACCGTAGCAAGGGAACGGTGAGTGAGGCGACCGCCTTGGGTGCCAAAGCAAAGGGGCGCCAACAGGTGCTGCCCAGCTGAGGCAGGGTGTGGGATGAAGCAGCGAGTGGCTTGGTTGGGGGGGGTCCTACAGCTCTATGCACTCCCAGGCAAGCATGGGGTGGGGGGGCATGTGCCCCCTGGATTTGTGCACAGGGCAAGGGCTGGCTGCCACCCAGGCATCACACTTCCTTGCTATGGCACTGAAGGAGAAGGTAGGAGGAAATTAACTGGTAGCCAATTTAAAAAAACAAAGTGCTTTTTCTGCTTCTGCAACAACCACACACCCTTCAGCTCAGCAGGTGTGGACCATGAATTTTGCTCGTGTGAAAAGGGATCCTTTTAAATTGATATCAGAAACATTTCCAAAACAAGTTAATCAATCAAGGAAAGCCTGAATTGCAGCATTGGGAATGGTCTCTGGGAGTTTTGCCTGCTTTAGGGACTCAGAACTGAGACTAATAAAAAACATCCAGCCTTGTCATTTATATTTCGCCCTGAGAAATGGTGGGGGAACAGTAGAATTCAGTGTCAGAAAGATCAGCCTATGCCTGATGGTACCGAGGAGCAATTTCCTGGAGATCAAAGAGTTAATCCATTATATGAACAACAGAGAAAGAAAAACAACCTGTCCTCAACATTTACTCTGCATGCATCAATGGCCACAAGTAGTGATGGAGCACCTGGTCAAGTTGCTATGATTCTCTTGAGAGGCGCCAATCAGTGTGGCAGCTGGGAGAGGGATTTTACTGCAGTTCGATTTAACCACGGGTTTGGTAACAGATTGGAGCATTCTTGAAATGCCATGGGCTCACATAATTATTTCAAATCCATTTCTACTTAGAATAAATGGATAAAGAGAGCCTGGGTGGGTAGGAAAACATGCAAAAAGTGATGGGAATAGAACAGGTTTCCAGAGTCGTGTTTAGCTAGTGCTGCGTACACTCAAACGTGAAGTTTTTCACTCTCCAAAGTGCATGCAAGCGCTACTGCGAATCCAGCACAAGCGTCTGTAGAAGCAGCAAATATAGGCAACAAAATGCTGTCTTATCTCTGACAGGAGCTAGTACTAGCTTAAAAAGAGAGAGAGGGAGAGAGAAGTAGAGGATAATTTAATCTCAATTAAAGTTCCTGGAAGAGAAAAGAAAGGTCATCTCCATTATTTTACGTATCACCTTGAATAATCAGAAGGCCCATCTCCACGGATCGGAGCCCACTGAGCACTCCCAGCGCTGATCAGAGCCCAGACTGGGGGGACTTGGCGTGATGGACGCAGCGTGGTCTGGCATGTTTCAGACAAACCGTGATAAAGACTTTCCATCTACTCCTAGGTCCTTCCATCGTCCCTCCACAGTAAACAAAGGCACCAACGGGCAATCCTCTAAGATGTTTATTTGGACCAGTGGCCGGGGCTCCACCTCTTACAGACATGATGAAAAAAGGTAAATTGCATCAATGTCTATTTGGGGTTTGGGGTGGTTTCTTAATCCGTTTTATATGAAAAGTCAGATCCTGGTTGCCCTGGTATGGTAGTGCAGGGGGGGAGGGAGAGCCACAGATTATATGTCCCCAGAGAATAGGTCGCCTTGATGAATATAGGTGATCTCTGGTGCAGTCTAACTAAAAATGGAGCGATCTGATGTACTGGAGGGGTGGCCCAGGTGTGTCTTGTCCCTAGCAAGACCACTTGCATGGTGAGCACCTCTGAGGCTGGCACACCTTTTTAAAAGTGTACTCATTACAACTCATGAGCACAACCCACACCAGCTACTGGAGACATTGTACCTTCTGCAAAGCATCAGGCTTCCAGCTCCTATTCCTCAGCTGAGGAGCACGCTGCCACTCAGATGACCCTCTCCATGCCATCTTCAATGAGAACATCACCCTATCACCCTTTCTAGTCTGGACTGAATTAGAGAGTTCTTGAGCGTGTGTGTACGTGTGTGCGGGTAAGTGAATCATTGCACAATTGTAAGCTGAAGACAAAGAGGATGAAGGGATTTCTATGAAATGGCCAGTTCATTTAATCAGTACCGCCGGAGAGGATTGGTTTGAAGGAGACAGGAGTAACACAAGTTAACTAGATCTCCCTTGGGAAGGAGGGAATTACACAGAGGAGAGTGAAAGGGAGGGAGAGGTTTAAAGTGCACAGACAAAGGGAGCACTCAGTTGGGAATGAAAGAAGTTAAATCTCACTGATGAAAGAACAATTGCCTGGTAATGCTCAGTTTCGTCCTTCCAAAATATCTCCCCTTTGTAGAGAGATTCGCCAGACAGCCTGTCTTGTCACAACCTGGGCACATTTCCCTTTCTTTTCTCTTCCTCTTTTCTCTCCTCTGTTGCCCTTGCAGACACTAGTAAATGTAATCACAAAAACTCAGACCTCGGTGAAACAAAAACAGAGGAAAATGCCTCCACGTCGCCAATTAGCAGAGCACACTGTTAATTCTAATGAGAGATTACTTCTGGCATCTGCTTTAGAAAATATGCTTGTGGCCTTCGGTGCCCGACATGGACTTGACATGGAAAATCTGCCTGCTCATTCTGATGTGGAAAGGGGAGCGGGGCTCTTCTGCAAATCTGGTTCCCATGTGGGCATTGCCCCCTTTGAAAATCTGGTCCTAACAAAGCTGTATTTTTTGTGAAGTATTTAGTGGGAGATTTGCAAAGGTCACTTTGGTGGCCAACTCCTATAAACTGCCCCTAGAAACTGGGTACTTCACTGGTTCCTGTGCCCTCACAAATCTCCCTCGTCATTGATTTGTGCTCTGAGAAAATACATCCCTCTGCCTTGATACGGAGATATGGATTAAACCTGGGATAGATATTTACTAAAATGTGGTTCAGAGAGGTAATGAGCACCCCATGCTACTGAGGCTGTCAGCACTCAGTGCCTTTGACAGTCAACCCCCTCGCATCATGCCACACAAACAGATACAGCAAGTAGTCAGCTCTTCCTAGCACATGGCAGCCCACTTGCATTGGGTACCCATCAGCAGCCCTCCTCAGCCAGGAGGTTGAGGATGTCAGGCAGTGTCTACACTGTGCATTATTCATTACATTCTTCTACATGAAGGAAGTTACAGCAATGCGGGCCTGATTTTACTCTGGTTCATCTCAATCAGAATTTGGCTATTGCCTTCCATGTTGCCCTTCTAGGTTGCAGTACCATACAGCAGCTAGCATTATAAACCCAGCAGAAGTCTCAGCACCGCTTCCTGCAGTGACACTATAGTACAGGCTTCGTGGCCTCTGCAGGGACTGCCATCCCGACAGTTTTCACCCTGCTGTGCCTTCACACACACACAACACAAGTTTTGTTTTCAAGAATTTGAGGTGCAGTTTCCCAGAAACCCTTGCATGTATGTCCTTGAAACTTGGCAGGCTTCATGGCCTCAGAAGGAGCTACTGTCTCTGCAAGTTCCATCCTAAGCAGGCAAGAACTGACAAAGTTATAGGCAGTTTTGTGGTTCCCCATTATAGCCTATGGGTGAAACGTCAAAACAGTGTTGAAACAGCAAAACAGTTTCAAAATGGAACAGTGGTTTCGAAACAAAACAAAACTCGAAACGAAACATTGTCCTGTTGAAACATCAAAATGGAAGTCAAAATGAAACAGTTTCTCCACCCCCCACCCTCCTCTCATAATGATTCCTTCAGCAGAATTTTTGTTCTTCAACCATCAGACTAGAAAATTATGGCCTGAAACACCAAGATGGTGGTATAAATGGCTCTGCAAATGTAGCTTTTTGAGGGGACACACATGAACAGATAAGCACTAAATGGCTTTAATCCTGAAAACACTTTTATATACCTGAGTGGCTTTACACAAATGAGCAAGCTACTTTCCCTGTAGGAAGCAATACACAGGCCTGTGTTGGCACGATTGAAGCCTAAATGTGTGTATTTTATCTACTCGTGTTAAACATTGACTGGTTTGGGTTTTTTTTCAGGCAGTTTTGGGACTCCTGAGTAAAGTCATTTTACAAGGGTGCAGACAGAAGTGCAGCTCCCAGGTCTAACTCATGGCAATTCATAGAAATTGCCATGAATTAGACCAGGGGTGGGCAAAATATGGCATGTGGACCAAATCCAACCAGGCCATTCTGCCCAACCTGCAGGGCCCCTAAAAAATTTAGAAAATTAATATTTATCTTCCCTGACTGCCTGTCAAAGTTGACAGGAGCCAGGGGCAGTAGGACCCAAAAGAAGCCGCTGGCAGAACCAAGCAACCACAGGCAGGGAAGCACCGAAAGCTGCAGCAGGTGGAGGGGAAGGGACAGTGAGTGGTGTGTGGGAGTGCAGAGGGAGCACGGGGTCTGCACCAGTGCACTGGGACCAGGGCTAGCGGGAGCCCAGAGCAGGGCAGCAGAAGTGCGGGGCAGGGATCATCAGGGGATCTGGAGACAAACTGGCTCCTCCTCTCCCTGCTGGTGCAGCCCACCCCAGCTCCAGATCCCTTGCCAGCCCCCACCCTGTGCTTCTACCACCCCACTCTGGGCCCTGCTGGCACTGGCCCGAGGACACTGGCGCAGCCCTGTGCTCTCGCCCAGCTGTTGCTGCACTCCTCCTGCCTGCTCACTCCCACTCCTCTCACCTGCCACAGTCACTTGCCCACCGTTGCCACTGCTCCCCTCCACCCCTTCACCGGTCACTCCAGCACCATGTGGTTCCCAGCTGCAGTGCTGGGACTGCAGGATGCAGCAGGAGCTGGCCTGGCCCCTGTGATTCTTGGCCAGCTCCATGCAGTGCCAGCTGGGCTGATCCAGCTCCTCCTGTGTCCTGCAGTCTCAGCCGTGCAGCTGGGACGTGGTACCAGAGTAGCAAGCTGGGGAGGGGAATGGGGAAGTGGCAGAAGGGCAGCGGTGGCAGATGGAGGGGGAAGTGGCTGTGAATGGGAGCAAGGGGCCATGTTGGTGCCCCAAGGCCAGGAGCATCAAGAGTACAGAGCCTGGGTTTGGAGGAGTGTTGAGGGGGCTCTGCCTGCCATGGGGAGCTGTGGGCAAATCCTCCCCCTCCACACATGCCACAACCATCTCCAGCCACCCTCCCCCCCACATACTCCCACATACCCACCCACACCACATATCCACACACACACCCACATGCTCCCCTACCCCACATACACACACATCCCCCATGCCTATCCACCTCCCACAAACTCCCCCCACACACCCCACATACCCACAAGTCTACCCACCCCCCCCACAATATACAAGAGTAAGACTTCATTTTAAGCTATTGTGCAATCACCTCTAGGTACACTACACAAACACACGTAAATCAGGACAAAAATATTTTTCTCAAATTAAACTAATGAATGTTGTAGTAGATGTTTGATTTTTAGAACATAATTTGGTATTTTTCTGGTTCAGAGATGGCAAACCCTTGCTGAAAGGAGTATTTCTGGGGGTGATAAAGGGAGGGACTTTTGGTGTCAAAGGTCAGGGGTAGGGAGTGGTACTTCCAGTCCCAAGATGGTGACCAGGGAGTGGGGCACCTGTCAAGGGGCAGGGCTACCCTTGCGGCCCTAAACGGCTTGCCAAAATTTGGTAAGTGGCCCCCTGCGTGAAATAATTGCCTGCCTAAGTTAGTCTGATCCTCCTGACCCAACAGACGTTAGATGTTGGATCAGAAGGGTAGAGAATCAGCTCCAATTTGGAGCTGATCCATGGAGAGAGGCTACATCTTTGCCTGGCTCTGCCCCTTGCTAGCTCTGTTACTGTCTCTGGATGGGAGTGGGGAGAAGGCAGGAGAGAGAGGTCTTCAGGAGTTTTCTTAGCCCCACTGGAGTTGGGGGGAAGGTAGATTGAAGCCACCCCAAGGTGAGGCCGCCTCTGTTTTAGATAGGATTTAGATAGTCCTGTTTGGCCTGCTCCAAAGCATATTCACATCAGGGAGCCTCCTTCCACAGATTTCACTGGGGTTTGGATCAGGCACCACAGTGAGTTTTCTTGTGTCGCTGCAGATCTCATAACAACAAAACTTGATTCAACCAGACATATTGCATAAAAAATAATAGAAAGAAATCAGCTGCAGAGCACAGAAAGTCCCTGAGCACTTAGCACCGGGATTTCTGCAGGTAACATCCAGGTTTTTATTTGACCTCTACATTCAAGGATTTCCTGCAAACCCTTAGCATGAGGCAGTTTGACTGGCATCCGCATAATAATTGTGATATCAGAGAACTGAATCAGGTTTCAAAGTCATTCCGAATAATTCAAGCAGATGTGTATCCCCACCTGATTCCCACATGACTCTGCTGTCAGGGTAGACAGCGTCTCAATTAGCCAGTTCATTTAGGCTTTGTAGGTGAGTTCGTGGGGGTTTTTTAAATCCAATATATCCTGGTCACTTGGGTAGTAGATGATTGTAGATATTTCACGTGGGATGTCTGAAATAGGAAGCAATCCTGAGATCCCCGTTCATCACATCTGCTTCA